ATCGTGACATGCTCCGTCTATGTTATGACAACCATGAGGGATTTACTACGGGCCTCAGTGTCATCCCCACGCCACTTGAGGCGGCTGATCAATGTGGGGATGCTAATAATTAACATAATCAATTATGGGTCAAACAAAAGCATATTATCCCACAAAAATGATTGAAATTGCAAAAACTTTTTTGATAATAACACATGTCTTAGTTCATCCTCAGCTCTCAACATTGTAGTACGCGCTCCTTATGTTGTATGGAAATATAAAATAAATTAAAATATAAGTATTTCACGATAATATATTTATCATGGGGTTGTTTCATACTATTTGTGCTTGTCATGAAGAAGCCCCACCGCGCTCCAGAACCTGCAGCTTTTGTTCAAGCAAAGAAACAAGAAGAAACTTTTTACCAATGTATTATACCGCGACAATTCAATCCCGCAAAGTTTGAGAAATAATACAGGTACTCGCAAGCTCTTCTTCCTTATGAGCAATCTCGGGGAAAGCCTGGGGATCCTATACTTCGTCAAAAAGGAACGAAACAAAGAATCAAAACTTTTCTCTTGCTTTGTAGACATCCCGATCCCAGTCTGTCTCTACTCCGTCCCCTGTCCAGCTTTTGATTCCTCCATAATTACCGTTAGTACAGCGAAAATTAACTTACTTTCAGAATCTCACTTCCTCAAATCTGTTGAGCGAATTCATGCACTAAAAAGACTGATCACATGCAAAACAAGTTGCTTATGTTTTGACGAACGAAATCGAAGCGTTATTTTGCGAGAATCACTTAAATATTGAACATTAGTTTTCAGCCTTGTGAAGATAATCACTTCATAACTTTCTTTAAGATTGATTGGCTCGAGTTTTTAACACAAGTGTCTCCAGTAGAAACACACAGTCTTTTTCAAGAAAATGCCTCGACCTTTATGGTCGAGGCTCCACCGATTGAAAATGTGGAGAAGTAAGTGCAAAACTGAGTTCAGTTTGAAAAAAGTAAAAGCAATTAAGGCTTGACGCCGTGCTGAAAAATGCTTCTAAGGAAATACTCGCCAATCTAGCAATGACAAGTTACATCGAATCTTGGATGCCATGGCTGGATAAACGATTTAAAACTCTCGCAGCTAGAGCTGTAGAGGTGAGATTTGGCCAATTTTGATATGCAGCCTTGTGCCTGAATTCTTACATAATAGTAAGCCATGAATCCTATCTGCTGCAACAATTCTATGTGTACTAGCTGACATTCCTAGTTTCGCATTAGAACGAGCGTCTGGACCCTCTTTGTCCGGACCCTCAGGACCTTCGGATTTGTCCATACGGTATATCTTTGACTCGGAGCTAAGCAAAACATTTTGTATGAAGAGAGTTATTGACGATTAAAAATTGTGTATATTTGATCTGATGGGATTGACGCCTGGAAGGCGGTGACTCAAGGCCTACTTCAAGCTAGAGGATGATCAGAGAGCACGCT